GAACTCGGGTCCTTGCGCTTGCCAGGCAGGCCACCGAACCACTGAGCTAAATCCCCGGCCCCAAACTTTGGTCTTTTCATTCCCTAGCTTCCCACTCCCTTTTATTAGTATAACTACTAAGCTTTTTAAATCTCAAGACAGCTAGTTAACTTTACAGCATTGCTGTCAAATACTGTTTTATTGTTAGGGGCAAAGTTGTTCCATTTAGTGGGTATATACTGTAGATCACTAATAGAATATTTGGTTTGTATTAGTGTTCAGACCAATTATAGATATCTATGGTTAAGGATGTACCTTATCAGTCCTTAGGTTATGTCAATATTAAATTTATATCTGATGTTATAACTGGTACTAATTTTATTACAATAGCCAAGTGATGTACTTGTTGCTATTGGTTTTTGTGGGGTACCAATATCTAGGTTGCCTTGGGGTCAATAATAATGTAGCCCATTCCTGAAAAACTTGTTCCTGGGCCAAATATGTTCAACCTCCCATCTTAAGTACATAGAGGTGAGTGGAACCTGGGACAGAAGCAAAGGCCAGTAGTCAGCCATGCCCAGAGGACACAAATGAAAAGTAGACATTAACTAAACTAGACATTTCTAGAAACAAAGCTTTCCAGTATAATCAACCTGCAAGTCTCAACACACACACACACACACACACACACACACACACACACAAATAGGAGCATAAGACAAGCCAATAAAATGACTCCAAAGATTCCCAACTCCTCCACAGTTGATCCGTGGTGCACTGAAGAGGAAGAAACCAAAACCTGCACTCTTGGTTTGTAATTACATAAGAGTAAATAATAAAACAGATCAACAAGGCATTTGTCAAGCTCTAGAAGATATAAGTAAAAAAGATAATGGGCCAAATAAAATGATTAGTGAGCCTATAAGAAGACACTAATAAAAAGCTAAAAGAGCTAAACAAAATATGCAAAATGTGAATGACCAGCATAAAAAAGAATTAAGATTCCATAAAAGGGCTCAAAGTAAAAATTCAGGCTATTAAAAATTCTACTGAAAGAATGGGCAGCAGGAGTGACCAAAGTGAGGACGAAGGGTCAGAACTAGAAGACAGGGCTGTTGTTGGTGACCAGTTAATGAGAGATACCTTAAAAACGAGAACATGAAAAATGGATCGAACATCTAGATGCCACAAGATGAATAAAAGATTAAGTGGAATTAGCGAGAAGTCAGAAGACAACACAAATGTATAAAAGAACGTGTACTGGGCTGAGGATTTAGCTCATAGTGTCACTGCCTGCCTTGCAAGCACAAGGAACTGAGTTTAATCCCTGGTTTAAAAAAATGTTTACTGAAATTAAAGAAAGCTTTCCAGATAAGGGGAAAGAATTTAACACACAGATAGACTAAGGCATATGGAATCCCAAATAGTCACAATCGGAAAAGAACTGCTCCACAACACAAAGACAAAATCTAAAAGTCCAACACAAGAACAAAATCTTAAAAGTGGTTACAAAAAGCAGTGAATCACTGAAAAAGGAAAAGACATTAAACTAACAGCAGAATTCTTAACACAAACCTTGTAGGCCAGGGAGTCTTAGTGAAGTGTCTCAAACCCTAAAAGAAAACAATTTCCAACCCACACTGACATATCCTGTAAAGCCACCTTTCAAAACTGATGGAGAACTAAGATACTTCTATAATAGAACACCTCAAGATATTGGCAACAGAATGCAGAGAATCATCAGAGATCATGCATCATGACCAAGTAGACTACCCAAGGGATGCAAGGATGGTTCAACATACACAAATCAATAAATATAATACATCACAAAAGCAAGGACAAAAATCACATGATCATCTCAATAGATGCAGAAAAAAACCTTTGACAAAATCCAATGTCCTTTCATTGTAAAAACACTGAAGAAAATAGGTACAGAAGGACCTTGTCTCAATCTGATAAAATCCATTTATGACAAACCTGCCAATATATTAAATGGAGAAAAACTGAAAGCTTTCCCTTAAAATCAGGGGAAAGACAAGTACAACATAGTACTTGAAACATTAGCAAGCACAATTAGGCAAGAAAAAAGGATTATGTATAGGACAGGAAGAAGTCTAATTATCATTATTTGCAGATGACATGATTCTCTACTTAGAAGAAAAAATCCACCAAAAGACTCAAAATTAA